CGGTGACCCGGTCGGGGGACAGCGCCCGGGCAGGAGGGGCTCTCCCCCAGAGCTGCGCCGTGTCTCCCATCCCCGTACCGCCGCTCGCTGAGGTTTACCTCCGAGCCCGTCAGCTTCTGGGCACAAGCGGCGACCCACCGGTTCAGGGCGCGTGTCCCGGGGCGGGGGTCGTGCCCGCAAGCCCCTCGCAGGCAGCCCGGTCCGAGGGTGGGTCCCCAGTGCCATTGCGCAGCACTGCGCGAAATAAATACGTGAGTAGCCTAACTTCAGAAACTCGTTGGAAACGCGGTACTTGCTCTTTCGTGACGCTTGCGGAGGTGGCCGGCTCTGTGCCCAGCCCTGACCCTGGCTGGGGGACACAAGGGTCTCACTGGGCAGCGGGCTGGCGCCGGGGCGGCCGTGCCCATCGTCTAGGGCCTGTCTCGCGTTCTAGGGCCTGCGTTCGTCACCTCGTGGTGCCATCCCGCCTCTCCTCCGAGGTCTTGCCCCAGCTTGTCCCGCACTCGATCCCGGCTGCAGGGGTGGGAATCACCTGCTGTCGCCCCCGGCCGTTGGGTGTTGCCTTTACTTCGTCCCGCATCGCTGCCCTTTCAGCAGAGCTCAGGCCTTCCTGTGAGAGCATCCCAGGCGAAGGTCTGCGGGCGTCTGCTGGCATGGCCGTGCCCCCTCTAGTGTTGCCTGTACACGTTCCCTGCACCTCTTCTCGCTCTGGCTGCGTTGGTCTGGGTGCTCTGTGCTGCTCTGGTCCACGGCTTTGCCTGGGAAGGGCTGCGTCCTCTCCAAGCACTGCCTGAGAGCTCAGCTCACGGAGAAGATCTGAAGTATCCCCTCAGGGGACAGCCTAGCGCAGGGCTGGGAGCGATAATCCAAGTCGGAGGGTGAATTTTGGGTGGGAGATGCGGCTACAGCGAGCCTGTGAGGGGAGCAGCCAGCCGCTCGTGGCAGCTGGTGACGTGGGGATGGAGCTGCTCTGCTCGGGCTTCGGCAGGGGATGCGAGAGAGATGTGGAGTGAGAACCGTGTGCCTTAAACGTGGAGGGTGTACCCGGGCAGCAGAGAAAAACGGCCCTTGGGATGGGGTGAGTGTTTGTTCAGGTGCAAAGCCAACGCATCCAGCCCCTTCTTCCGTTCAACACGTTTATCTTTTGCTCATTTTCTCTCTTCTTCGTGGGAATAGTTTCTTAAGGGTGGGTTGTGGTGGATGCGCTGCCCTGTCCTTGCAACTCTAGGTACAGGGATGCTTCAGTAACTGCCCCTTCGCTGCTGTGCGGGATGATGCTCCTTATCCAAGCAGCTCTGCTCCAACTTATCGTGCCTCAGGATTACGGTTTCGTGCTTGGCTTGTGCCAACCAAAGTCTGATTTTGGGATTAGCCAGTTCAGCTGATCGAGCTGGAAACCCACTTTGGGAAGGGTACAAGGAGGAGAAAGGCAAGGGCCAACCCTTTCTGCAGAGACACGGATTTAGATCAGCTTAAACCCATCACAGAACGGCACCAGCGCCGCCTCTCCCATGTCTACGGCATCGAGCGAGGAGGGACTGGCTGCCGCTCAGCTCGGGTACCTCCTTGTCCTCTGGCCGCTAACGTGGGAGCAGCTCCTGCTGCCTGCAGACTCTCTGACACCGTGTGTTGCTGTTGGGTGCCTTTTGCCTCGTTAGTTAAATCTTGAGCCCTTTAAACTCTCGAAGGAAGTCTGTAAAGTTACTCCTGTTCAAACAGAGCTCCGTTCGTTAAATCTAGGCAGTAAAAGGGTCACCCCCGTCGGTCCATGCTGCTCGAGCTCGGTGTGTTCCTCCTGCTGGAGCCTGCTGCTGGGGTGGGACTGGAGATCGGAGCTGTTTGCCCTAAATCAGCAGCTTGTGAGAGAAGGTTGGGCTGTAGCTGTTGGAGAACTCATGTCCTGAGTGGGGACAGGGAGGCGGGGGGGGGCTGCGTGATGCCCCCAGGGAGAAAGGGGGCAGCTGCTTTGCTCAAAGCAGGGTGAGAACGCAAGCTGGCGTTAATCGTTTGGGGGAAGTTCATAAACATCTTCTATAACGATTTTCCTGGATTATAAAGTCGGTGACTGGCTGGTGGCACCCCATCTAGGGAGGGCAGCGCGAGATTCAATATAGTGCCAAAAAAAACCCTGTATGGAGTTAGGCAGTGGAAGCTTTTGCGCCTTCATCGAAGATTAAGGTAAAGATCCTTATTTAGGCTGAGATTTTGAGATGTGTGGGTCCACGTTACGGATAGAAGTCAAAGAAAAAAGCTGCTGCATTGGCCGGGAATCGAACCCGGGCCTCCCGCGTGGCAGGCGAGAATTCTACCACTGAACCACCAATGCCAGCGCTGCCAGCTGTGTGCTGCCGCCTGCACAGCTGCCTGCACAGCTGCCTGCGCAGCTGCCTGAGCCTCCCCGGCTGGCCAGTGGCTCTGCCGTGGGGAGAGCCGGGGCTGAAGGGCTGGTTGGGCGACCCGGGACCTCGAAGCAGCTGCGTAGGCTGGAGCAGGGTTACGGGTCTCTTCGTTTAAGCGCAGCTGATGTGTTAAATGTCTCTGGGTCTGAGGAGGAGCAGGTATCGCCCGCGGAAACCTTGTCTGCTTTCTGTTAAGGTTTGTGCTGTGTTAAGAGTTCATATGATACACGGAATATCAGCTGAAGCGATGCGTGGGTGGCTGGAAAGGTCCGAAATCTTGGCGCTGGGCGTGGGTCTGGTGGGCAACAATTCCCTGCCGAGCCACCAGCGCTCCTGGCGTGTGCTGAGCGGTTCTCTGGTGCCGTCTCGTGCTGTGTCAGGGGTAAACGATCCTTGTAACCTGCCTTGTTGGAGAGGGTGTTTGTCTGAAGACCTGGTGACTTCTCCACAATCACGTAGCCCTGGTGAGGTGGCCCTTGAGAGTCCATCCTGGGCTGGGAGTTCACAAATGGTGTAGGAGGCTGCAGGCTGGGAGCAGCAGGAGGGCAGCGAGCCACTGTTGGACGTGAGCGGGGGGGAGAGGAGAGCTCTGGTTTCACTTGTGTGTTCCTTGGGTGTTCCCCGTTTCGGTACTGCTTTCTCTGGCGTTTGTCGTAGCCGAAAATCCCTGTTTCTGACGGCCGCGGGGAGCCGAGCTCCCAAGTGTTTGTATTGGGCAGAACCTAAAGCCCCCCTGGGTGCTTTCCTCTTCTCTCCCCAGACTGGTGCGAGAGTTCGTGGCTCAGAACAACGCATCTCAAATCAAACACGTGATCCAGATCCTGTCGCAGGAGTTCGCGCTCTCCCAGCACCCCCACAGCCGGAAAGGGGGACTCATTGGCCTGGCCGCTTGCTCCATCGCCCTGGGCAAGGTAGGTGCGGGCGGGTTTTTTTTGGCTTGTGCGGATTGCAGTGGGAGAACGGCAGCTCCTCCTGGGTCAGTATGGTGGGGAGACTCAGGCTGGTGGCCCCACAGCTCCCGACTCCCTCCCTGCATTGCAGCATACGGCTGGGTTGTGTTTGAGTCTCCCCATCGCACCCAGCCGCGTCCCTTGGGCACGGGAGCGCTTTCTGGCCTGGGTCGCATCTTGGTGGCTCCCTAGGCGTGGTTTAAGCGCATCTGTCTATCCTCTGTCTCCAGCAGCTGGACTAGACTCAGCAGGTCGAGTACTAATTTGTGTTAACAGAGCTGAGAAGAGGTGCAGCCCTTCCATCTCCCAGCCCCAGCTCAGCCGGCTCCGGCAGCGCGGGCAGGGCCTTTGGGAAGCAGGGCTAAGGTACAGCCCAAACGGTGGCAGAGGCACAGTCAAAGTAAACAAGTGGCATAAGGCGTCAGGCTGCGTTAGCCTGAGCTAGTAGCTGTCTGTTAGGCTTGGCAGAAGTTTTACTTGCTGAACGCATGGGTCAGTCAGTCCGGTTCTGGAGGTGTTATGTCGATGCCCCTTGCGTGGGAAGTTGGCTGATTTCTGTCCCGATTAAGGTCTTTCTCTGTAACTTTCCTCTCGTTAACGAGAACGAGCTCAGTAAGTTGCCTCTAGGGCTATGCCAGAGCATCCAGGTCTCCGTGGAGGGGAGCGTGGACTCTGCAGGCTCACAGCTCCGTCGGGCTTTTGAGTCAACCCATGCGGCTGGTTTTTGAAAGCGCCTGTAAGGGAAGGAGTTGTTTTGGTCCATGGTAAGGTGTACGTCAAGAAAAGCAGAGGGCTCGGGAGGAGCAGGCTGTGCTTGTAGGAAGAGCTACGAGGTAGATTTTAATTCATGTATTCCCCTTCTAACGAGAGTCGCGATCGGTCTGAGCGGATGCTTTGAAGCCTGATGGCTTTTACATTAACTGCCCTTAGGCTGGTGGCCGGGGACTTCTGAGCAGCATTCCTGTCTTCGTCCTCTTGTTAAAATGCAGAATCTCTTTGCAAACCCTCCTCCCCGGGATGGGCAATGCTCTGCTCTGCCCTCGGCCCGGGCACGTAACCCACCTTCTCCTCCCGCACAGTGCGGGGACAGGCACTCCGTGCTGCCAGAGCTGCTGGTGCAGCTGGCTCTGGGGGATGGAGGAGTTGCTTTAGGTGGCCTTGAGGGGCACCGATAAAACTCAGAGTTTAACTCTTCCATCTGCTAGTTCGCATGTTGTTGATTTTCTTACCATCTCCTTTGCTAGATGCTCAGGAAATTCCAGCCTGTTTCCCCAAAGTAGGGGGTTTTATCTTCAAAACAAGCCAACCTCCTGCCTCCGCCTCTGGGTTTGTCTGAAACTTCTGCTATGCTGGTGAATCCTTAAGCAAAAGTCTTTTGGGCTGGGGAGCGGCCTCCTCATTAACGACTGTATTTGCTTGTGGGCAGAGTCAAGGTCAGCCTAGCATGGCTCTTCCATGGTGCAGGAGGACAAACTTCAGCATGTAAAATGAATCTTGCCTGGGAATCGGAGCCCTGCAATCACTTCATCTAACAGATGTGTCCACCTTAACTCTGCCAGCTGTGGTCGCTCCTCGTCCGTAAGCAGCTGCATAGGCTGAAGCGGCTCCTCTTCTGGTAGTTGGGACCACGGTTGAGTTGGTGTTTCTGGAGACAACAGGGCAGGAAGGAGCTTTGGGGACTGCTGAACGTCTTTCTTTTTGTGAAGCCTGCATCACCATCTCCTCCGAGGTCCCCAGCTCCTGACGTTACAAAGAGTAGCCCAACAGGCCAAGGGTTTCTTTGCTTAACGGAAGGTGCAGGTAGGCTCGGTCTGTCGCTGTCTGGGATGTTCTCCCTGGTCCTGGAAACCTCGGTGGGTTTGTGCAGAAACCAGCTGGCGGAGTGGGATAAATCCTGGCCGAGGGCTGGTGACCGCTGGCTTTGCTGGGGATCTGCCTCTTCTCCTGCCTGCAGGGCAGAGGGAGGCAGGGACAGATTTCTCTGTGGGCCAGTCTCCAGCAGAGATGAGCGGCGTGCAGCGGGAGGCAGCCCCTTTTGCTTTGAAAGGTGCTCGGAGCGGGTGGTGAATAACTGCCTAAGCATCTTGTGTGTCTCTGGGAATCAAAACCAGACGAATACAGCTGCAGTAATCACTTCAGTTGCTGGTGTGGACTCCCTGGAAACAATTTCTCAGCCGGCTCAGGCAACTGTCACTGTACCTGAATAATAAAATTCAGTAATTTCAATAATAAAATTCAAAATTCATTAATAAATCCTGTCTGGCATAGGTGCACTAAGCTATCATGGGCCTGAATTTTTGCAGTGTGTTCCAGGGCAGCGCCATCTCTTCCCTCTCCCTGTGTCATGGTCCTCAACTAACCAGTCTCCTCCTGTCCACCAGGACTCTGGGCTCTACCTGAAGGAGCTGATTGAGCCGGTGCTGACGTGTTTCAACGACGCCGATAGTCGGCTGCGGTACTACGCTTGCGAGGCTCTCTATAACATTGTCAAGGTGGCCAGGGGCTCCGTCCTCCCACACTTCAACGTGCTCTTCGATGGCCTCAGCAAGGTAAGAAGCTTCCTCTCAACCCTCATGTGTTTTTATTTCCCGTGCTGGAGAAGTAAGACTTGTTTTTCAGTCCTCTTCTTCTCAGGGTCAAACAAACCAAGTCGTCCAAGGTCTTCTTTCCAAGTAAACTGATTTGCTTTGACCCGGGCAGGTCTGAGGGACCGAGTGAGCAGTTTCTGCAGCGGCACAGTGGCCACTGATGTTGTGGATGCTGGAGATCACTGTAAGACACCTTGTTCTCTGTCCTCACCTCCAGGATGTATTTCACTGCTCCTTGTCGAGTGGTATTAGGACACGAGGCTGACAGTACTGCTGCAGGCGAGCTGGCTCTGCAGCACTACGGCTTTGTGGGGTCTGTAGGGTCAAAACCGCGTCTACATATGCCCGTCTTTGCAGCTTATCACTGGAAACTTGTATTTCTCTGCCACTTGAGAATGTGGCTGCTGGCCCATGACAACCTGCGTAGCTGGGGGAAGCGATGGGTGCTTGATATTCCCCTTAGGAAGTCTCTTAGGAGAATTTGTTGGAGCTTAATGAGGAGTTTGAGATAAAGGGACTTCTCTGTGTCCGTCCCTGTAATGCCAAAGGAGAGCAACAGTCCTGTGAGCCTGCTGGGAGCTCCGCTGCAGAGCGGGGAGCAGACCTGGGACCCGCTGCTGCAATGGCTCTTGTTTCTGTTGTTCACAGCTGGCTGCTGATCCTGACCCGAACGTCAAAAGTGGCTCTGAGCTCCTCGATCGGCTTCTCAAGGTATTTTTCCTCCTCCAGCTGAGAATCCTTGGTGCGGGCTGCAGGCATGTCCTGGCTGGGGATGTGTTGGTCCCGGAGGCTGCAGCCGCTAAAACCATCCCAGCTCAATCCTGTGGCTACTGTCAAAACATTTCTTTCTCTCACCGACTGTAGCCTCTTAGATTGAGGGTCTGGTGGCGATCTCGGGCAGCTGGGTTGAGGGGCTGGTACGTTATCTCAGTGCCATGTGTGTGTTCAGCTCTTGGGAGCCAGGCATCTGGGGAAGCAAGGTTTTAGTCTGAGGAGGGTTGCAGCCCTGTCCCGGGCAGCAGAAGGGCTGTTCCTCTGCTTTTCCTCTCTTGCCTGAGCGAGTAGCGAAGAAAAGTGAGCGGAGCTGCTCTGCAAGGAGCAGAGCTGCTGCTTCGGGGTGGGGGACTTGGTTCCCATTCCTGTTCTGCCTGCCGACGGGCTTTTGCTTGTGCAGACCTCCCAGTTCCTTTTCGGCTACTCGGAGGTAAGTGGCTCTCTGCTAGGTCCTGCCCCCCTGCTCCTCCTCGTTAGCACAGCAGTTAATGCAGTCTCCGCATGACCTGCTGCAAACCCTCTTGCTGGGAGATCTGCGCTGGTGCGAGAGACTTAGCCACGCAGCAAAATCCACCAAGCGTGTAGGAAGAGCTTTAAAGGAAAGCCAGGGGACTCTCCCACCCCTGACATGTGTGGTTATATCACAGGTGTTTGCTCATGCGTGCAGCGCACCACCGAGGCATGAATCGGAGATGCTCCCACCCTCCTCCTGTTCAGCCAGGCTGACACACAGCAGGCAGCAGCCTCCCTCTCTGGGTCCTGCTCAGCGTTAGTCCCTGTCCAAGGGGGACCACTGGCTCATCGCCTGAACAAACCTCGTGATTCCTTCTCCCCGGGTCTCCTGACCCGCAGACCCATGTGTCAACTGCTTGTCATCTTTTTCCTGTCATGTGCCTTAAAAAAGGCCGGGTGGGGGTGGCTGCGTGGGCGTGGGGTGGTGGCCATCCCTCCTAACGCCCTCTGCTTGGGCTCTGCAGGACATCGTGACAGAGAGCAACCAGTTTGACTTGGTAGGCTTCATCCCACTGCTGCGCGAGAGGATTTACTCCAACAACCAGTATGCCCGCCAGTTCATCATATCGTGGGTAGGTACGCGCGGCCCCATGCGTGCCTGCCTGTCCGAACTCTGAAACACTGTGATCCATCAGCATCCCGTGTCTGGGCAAACGGCAGATGTCCACAGCGATGTGTGAACTCGGGCGCCTGAATTTACTTGGGCAGGTTTTTTAAGCCAGCAGAGTTTTTCAGCTGCTTCTTTAAAACGCCAGCTCCCTGTCACCTGGCTGTTGCTGTCTCAGGGACATCGTACTGCACTTCTGCCAAGCTGGTTCAGGACTTTGCACATCAAGTTAGAAAATACGGTCAAAGCGTTGCTTGTATAAATAGATACACTGTGGTCTAGAGGTTACAGTCTCCCAGGGGACAGTGCCAGACTGCTTTCCGTCACCCAGCGGTGATGGAGGGATGTTGCTCTCCAGGCTCTCCAGGAGGCAAGGTATCTCCTTTCTGTACAAGGCAGGAGCGCTCAGTGCCTGGCCGGGGTCTGGGGAGAGACGCGTGCCTCTGTGCTCTCTCTTTCAGCCATGCTGTTTGCCGTCCCAGGTCTGTCTGCATGTGTCTTGGCAAGTCGTTCCTGATCCCTGCTCTGTTTTACAGAGCTGTGATTGGAAATGTAGCAATGCTGCGGGCTGATCGCTTGCCTCCTGTGCTAGCCTAGCTTCTTTCTGAGATGGGCAACTCCATGCTGTCCTCTTGTCCTTCCCCCCCATCCCACACAGCTCAGCTCTGAATTCCTCAGTATCGCACCAGATTTGTGCTGGTGATGTTAGTTAGCTGCTCTAAAACTCACCCCTCTTCTTTCTTATTCCTCCCATGAGCTAGATCCTGGTCTTAGAGTCCGTGCCTGACATCAACCTCTTGGATTACCTGCCAGAAATCCTGGACGGGCTCTTCCAGATCCTGGGAGACAACAGCAAAGAGATACGGAAAATGTGAGTGTGGAGGCTGGCCGGGCGCGAGGGCTGTGTCTTGCTCACCGTCTTAATTTGTTTGCAACTCTTCTGTGTAACTGCAGTGAAACCCCACGTGCGTGGTGGGAGATGGAGCAATCTGGCTGGCTCGGTCAGTGGATCAAAGTGTCCTTGGCAAGGGCCTCCCTTACCCGGCTTGTTGTGGCTGGAGAGGACGCTGTGGTCTGTTTGTGCTGTGGCACAAACTGTTTTGGCTCGGTTCAGCCCTTGTGCCCAGTATCGGAGCCGCAGAGGCTCACGTGTGCTTCTGGGATGGGGTACGAGCAATGTGTACAGGCTTTGCGGCTTCCGAGCCTCTCTCAGCAAGGTACAGCACCAACCCAGCGTCTCCTGGGTGCAGAAGAGGAGCGAGCATTGTGAGCTTGCTCTTCAGATCCGTTGCTGGTCTCAAGACTGAGAGGCATTTTGAAGCAGAGGAGTGGCTGGGTGTTCTCAGGGAGGTCAGAGGATCTTGGCTGCTTGCGCTGGGAGAGAGTAACTGGACTTGTTTTGTAGGGCACAAGTAAGTGGTGAGCCTGGCCTGGGTCTATCCCGCTGCCAAGCCCTGCTGGATCCTCCTTGCAGCTTTGTTTCCCAGTGTCCGCGTGTCGAGGAACAAGCACTGAAAGCTTTGGGTATCATCTGTCCCCCTGCTCCCCTCTGTGCTCCCCATCCCAGGCTCACGTCGATCTCAACAGAGCCTGTGTGGCTGTTAGGCTAGTTGTGGGAAGGTGCGGGGGACTCTGGGCAATCATAGAATCATTAAAGTGGGAAAAGACCTCTAAGCCAACGAGTCCACCCGTCAACCCAACACCACCATGCCCACTAAACCATGTTCCTAAGTGCCTCATCTACACGTCTTTTAAATACCCCCAGGGATGGGGACTCCACCACTTCCCTGGGCAGCCTGTTCCAATGTTTCACCACTCTTTCAGTAAAGAAATTTTTCCTCGTGTCCAATCTAAACCTCCCCTGGCGCAACTTGAGGCCGTTTCCTCTCGTCCTGTCGCTTG